AAAAACAATCTGAGGTGAACAGAGAGCCTAGATTCTGGGAGTAATTTTTATCCCTCACACATCAGATAGAGAACTAATGTCTAGGGTATATAAAGAACTCAAAATGCTAAGCACCAAAAAAGGGAATAATCCAATCAAGAAATGGACCAAGGACCTGAACAGACACTTCTCAGAAAAGAACACAGAATCAATCAACAAATATATGGAAAAATGTTCATCATCTCTTGCAATTAGAGAAATGCAAATCAAAACCACTCTAAGATATCATCTCACCCCAGTCAGAATGGCAGCTGTTTTGAAGACAAACAACAAGTGTTGCCGAGGATGTGGGGGAAAGGCACACTCACACGCTGCTGGTGGAACTGCAAGTTGGTGCAGCCAATCTGGAAAGCAGTATGGAGATTCCTTGGAAATCTGAGAATGGAACCACCATTTGACCCAGCTATCCCTCTTCTCAGACTATTCTCAAAGGACTTGAAAACAGCACACTACAGGGACACAGCCACGTCAATGTTTATAGCAGCACAATGCAGAATAGCAAACTGTGGAGCCAACCCAGATGCCCTTCGGTGGATGAATAGATAAAAAATATGGGGCACATATACACCATGGAATTTTACTCAGCAATAATAAAATCATGGCAATTGCAGGTAAATGGATGGTATTGGAGAAGTGAAGTTAGTCAATACCCAAAAAACAAATGCTGAATGGTTTCTCTTACATGAGGAGGCTGAATATAGTGGGGTAGGGAGGGGGAGCATGGGAGGAAGAGATGAATTCTCCGTCTATTAGAGGGGTGGGAGGGGAGGGGAGGAGGCAGGGGATTAGCAGTGATGGTGGAATGTGATGACATCATTATCCAACGTACATGTATGAAGACACCAATTGGTGCCAACATCCCTTATGTACAACCAGAGATATGGAAAATTGGGCTGTATACATGAAATAAGAATTGTAATGCATTCCACTGTCATCGTTTTAAATCAAAAAATAAAAATAACAAACACACTTCAGCCTGTGCGAGAATCAAGGACGAATCCTTTCAACCACTCACCAAGACACTGAATTGCATTGTTGTTCCGGTGCTCAGCTGCAGGAAGAGCGGGAATATATGTGGATTTCAATACCTGATACCCACTGGGATATATTTGGGTGAAATACAAGAGACAGAACATCGATGGCAGGAGAGGTGCAGAAGACCTGGGAGGGAGAAAAAAGTTGTCATGAAAGCAATCGCCATTCTCCAGCTCAGCAGGTAACCTGTGATGACAAATGTCAACCGCAGCCTAATTCTTGCCTACATTAACACAGACCCTCACTTCATGCACGGGGAACACTGCTCATGAGCAATTTAAGAGGTCTTTAACCAAATTTAATATCCTACACAACGTATTTTTGCAATGCACATTTTCAATAAAAGTCACACAATTTTTACTTCAATATTGAGTTATTTAATTTCTTTTGCACTTGTAATGATTTTAGAGTCAGCTGGGTGATTTTTACAAAATGACTTTTGGATTTTGGCCTCATTCTATTGAACCTGCAGACCCACTGTGGAATATTGTGGTTTTAAGAAAAATCAAACTTTTGATCATTGAATATTCGCCGTTTTCCCACTTTGTTTCCACTTCTTTTTTGCATTTTACTTTCCCTTTTATTTTCACTTTGCGGTGAACAGTTCTTTTGTTATAACTTTCATTTTAAATTATTTTTCCTATATTTGTGAATGGATTTATGCCTCAATTTTAACACTGCCCATTGCTAGTGTGTATAAATTACATGACTTAATGTTGACCATTTAACCAATGACATTATTGAACCAATTTAAGTCTTATGTTTCATTAGTGCATGGAAATTGCTTAAAAATATTATAGAAATAAGAATATCATCTGCATGTGCTATTTTACTTTTGATGTACAAAATGCTGTTCAATATTCTCAGAACAATATTTAGAAGTTAGGAAACCATACTTTTTCCTTTTTCTAAAACTAAATTGTGAAACACTTAGGTTCTCACCATTAAATATGAAAACAGTTCATAGCTGCCCTTTAGGGGATTGAAAAAGAATTGTCCTCTGGTCTTAATTGGCCATAGGTCGTACAATAAATGACATAAGTATGTAATCTGCCAAAAGCTTTTCTCTATCAAAATGAGTTTTGGAAACTGAC